TTTTACAAAGTTAATGTTTTTATGAGGCGTTAAGATAAAATACTGTTTTAAAACTTCTAATATGATTTCAGGTTCTAAAACTATTATTGCTACATACTACTGCAGAACTGACTGCTAGAGCATGCATACTTAGTGCTACAACAATTTATAACAACTTTTACTAATGCCCCCTGATGTTTCTTTATAAATGTTAACTATACTTAAAGGTACTTTGTACTCATAAACACACACATACACATACTCCCCCTAAATATACATACATATGTACGTAGACATTACACTTGCATGTGTACTTATTACCCTGTACGCAAAATATATTCATATAAAAATAGTAGCAGAAGTAGTTTTTGTATAGTTTTTTGTTTCTTTTTTTTACTTTTTCAAGTCATGGTTGAGTAAACTTTACACTTTTCCATGCATAAAGCAAGTGTGTGAAAATATGTGGCTGTGTGTATGTACTAAGTATCTGTGTGAATTAATGTTGGTAGTTGTATTTGTATCTGTGCATGTTGCTTGAGTTTGTATTTGTTATTTCATGAATAGTTCACAAAGATGTTGCATGAATGCATATAAATACAGTTGACATTTGTATTTACTTGTTGTTACATATTTTTAAACTATGAACAAAATAAATAAACTATAAAATCACACATACACATATAAAACAAGAAATAAACAAAACATATACTTATGCATGTATGTGTGCATAGTATACATTAAATTCTCACTCATACTTTTACATACCTATTTTGCATACAATACTTGCTACTAAAAGCAAAAAAAAGGAAACAAAGAAACCAACAGTTCAAGGGTCGTGCCAAGGATGTAAATATCACATGGCACTAATATTGTCATGTATACATTTCTTCATGTTCATACGTATAGAATAGAGAATAATAAAATGTTATGCGACATAAACGCAAAATAAAACAAACATCAACTGTAATAGAAACTAAATCCACACATATTTATGTATTTATATAGAAAATTATTAGAATAGAAACTAAACTGAGCAGATTTAATTATCATGTCTTTCTTTTTTAAATCACTTTCATCATAAATTTTATTTGCACTTCATCTTATTTTCTCTTCCTTTTTTGTTAGGATTTTTGTTGTTATATTTTTTTTATAAAAAAAATTTAGTTTGTTATTTGTATTAAAGCTGTACACTTGTTTTTAGTTTTTAATCTAGTTTAAATAAAAGAGAGAAGTTTCATATGTTCTTGTATGACCTAATTTAGTATCTACAGGCAGAAGTACAGTGGGGTAGAAAATTGTTAAAACTGTTTAGAATTTCACTAGTCTATAGTCGGAGCTAAAGAGAGGTGAAATGTCTAGCTAAAACTATAAATTGGTCTATAGTGAAGACTATATATAATTCTATAGTTAAGACTACAGACTGGTCTAAAACAAAAAATAAAGAGATGTCTATAGCCTAGACTAGACTATAGACTAGACTAGACTAGACTATAGACTAGACTATAGACTAGACAATAGACTAGACTATAGACTAGACTATAGACTAGACTATAGACTAGACTATAGACTAGACTATAGACTAGACTATAGACTAGACTATAGACTAGACTATAGACTAGACTATAGACTAGACTATAGACTAGACTATAGACTAGACTATAGACTAGACTATAGACTAGACTATAGACTAGACTATAGACTAGACTATAGACTAGACTATAGACTAGACTATAGACCAGTGATGCCAAGTGTAGGGATTTTTCCCCTTTTGTAGGGATTTTTTTCAAAAATTTCACGTGTAGGGAAAAAGGGAAAGATTTCTTACTATTGTCAAATTGTAGGGATTTTTCAATTTCATAGTTTTTAACAACTAAAAATATACTCTTTCATGTATTAAACTTTTAAATTAAAAATGAAATCAGTTTTAAGTGTATCGTTAGTAAAAATTCCGCTTGTAATTTCTACAATATATGTGCCTACATATCGCTACAAGACTGGCATAATCCAAAATTCGGCTTTCTTGAACTAAGGTCTTCAAAACATGCGACATACTAAAATCTTTCATATAGATTTATGAAATTTCAAATATGTCTATTATTTTCGATATGAAATCGATTTTTTGTAAACGTAAAAACTAAAACCCACGTTTTTGTGAAAATTTAATTTCAATTTATATGAGAAATATATTAACCTCAACTATCTGAATCTGGATTTTTAAAACCCCTTGATTTGTTTAAAAGTTATTAAAAAAATAGTTAAATGTCATTAAATATACATATCCATTTTTTTTGAAACGACTTTTTGGATTATGCCAATCCTGTAGGGCGATATATTCTGACTCCTTATAGATAGAGTAGTCGGGGGCTTAATGCAGTAACTCAGGATTGAAAAAATGAATTTAATGTTCTGAAAATTTATAAAAGTAAACCGCAAAAAGTAAACGCAAAAGTAAACCTTATTTAAAATAATTATTTTATGAAAATTTTTTTGTTGGAGGCACATAAAATAAATTTTTATCACGATTCGATATACTACCATAAATCTTTCAATTGTTTTTTTTTTAATCTTAATTGAAAGAAAAAAAAAATTTTAATTTAAATTCTAGAAATTTCATTCCTAAAAATTAAAAAAAAAAAAAATACATACATATATGTATATTATAAAACGGAGCTAATATTTTAGTTTTTGATGTTATTTTTGTATTTTTTTAAGATAAACTTTGAAAAAAATGGAAAAAAGTAGTGTAGGGAAAAATGTAGGGAAAATAAAAAGTGTGTGTAGGGAAAAAAGGGATTTTTTCTCATAAGCGTAGGGATTTCTGAAAAAAATCTCCTGGCATCACTGCTATAGACTAGACTATAGACTAGACTATAGACTAGACTAGACTATAGACTAGACTAGACTATAGACTAGACTATAGACTAGAATATAGACTAGAATATAGACTAGACTATAGACTAGACTATAGACTAGAATAGACTAGACTATAGACTAGACTATAGACTAGACTATAGACTAGACTATAGACTAGACTATAGACTATAGACTAGACTATAGACTAGACTATAGACTAGACTATAGACTAGACTATAGACTAGACTATAGACTAGACTATAGACTAGACTATAGACTAGACTATAGACTAGACTATAGACTAGACTATAGACTAGACTATAGACTAGACTATAGACTAGACTATAGACTAGACTATAGACTAGACTATAGACTAGACTATAGACTAGACTATAGACTAGACTATAGACTAGACTATAGACTAGACTATAGACTAGACTATAGACTAGACTATAGACTAGACTATAGACTAGACTATAGACTAGACTATAGACTAGACTATAGACTAGACTATAGACTAGACTATAGACTAGACTATAGACTAGACTATAGACTAGACTATAGACTAGACTATAGACTAGACTATAGACTAGACTATAGACTAGACTATAGACTAGACTATAGACTAGACTATAGACTAGACTATAGACTAGACTATAGACTAGACTATAGACTAGACTATAGACTAGACTAGACTATAGACTAGACTATAGACTAGACTATAGACTAGACTATAGACTAGACTATAGACTAGACTATAGACTAGACTATAGACTAGACTATAGACTAGACTATAGACTAGACTATAGACTAGACTATAGACTAGACTATAGACTAGACTATAGACTAGACTATAGACTAGACTATAGACTAGACTATAGACTAGACTATAGACTAGACTATAGACTAGACTATAGACTAGACTATAGACTAGACTATAGACTAGACTATAGACTAGACTAGACTATAGACTAGACTATAGACTAGACTATAGACTAGACTATAGACTAGACTATAGACTAGATTATAGCCTAGACTATCGACTAGACCACAGACTAGACTGTTTTCTTTCCCGAAGCTCTTTAATTAATCGATTTACTTCTTATAATAAAAATAAATATGTCTCTTGCATCATTAATTGTTATAAATTGTATTTGAATCAAAAAGTCCATAACTTTTCATTTGACACAATTTGGGAAATTATTTCCTTTAAAACTAATGTTTCGAAAAAGAAAATAATTTACAACTCAGACAGACGTCATCAAGTGACTGGCATGAATCCGAAAAATCTTATAAACGTGCCAATAAAGTGTTAAATATACATAATAATTCTTAATTACAAAATATATTGCTGAAATATACATATGTATGTATTTTAGCCCTTTTATCGATTTACTTTTGTTTCCGTTTTTATTCTGTGCTTTGGACTCTTCAGTTGGGTAATAAATATCTGCTAAATAACAATTTTGTTAAGTTTTAATCAAAATAAATGTTTTATTATGAACTCGCATTCTCTCAACAGATTGTTGCTCATTAATCAATGATGATGTCCTTTTTTTTTTTGAACGTCTACTCTTAAGATGTCCTTAAATGATGTTGTTTTTTGTTGTTACTGCTACTGTTCTTTAATAATTTTGTTATTTTCTTTTTTACTCAGTTTGATTTCTTTTGTGCCTTTTAAATGTTTAAGTCTTTATTGTCATACTGTCAAATATATAATAGTTGTCCTTTTATTTATTTATGTATAAGTGAATCTATACAGATTCATATGTATATAAATATTTTTGTTTGTGTTCCTGTTTTAGTACATTTGTATGTATTATGTTTCTATAAATGCTATATTAAATGTTTATATTTTTATTTATCTATAAAGTTAACATTAGACAAAAATTCTATATTATAAAAGCGTGTGAGATAAAATAACAAAACCTACATATTTCACCATTATTGTTATTTGTATTATTAAGTATATTTGCTTTGATATTACATTTATATTTTTTTTTGTGTCAAGTCATTATAACAATAAATTAAATGTATTTTTGTTTCATATCAATGTTTTACTATGTGATTGTAGGAGTTTATATACCCAACCAATTGTCTATATTGCACATAGAGTTATAGATTTTGTTTCAATTCGATTTGTTCATATTTTTTTTTTGTGTACTCACCATCATGTGAATCATAGAGATAAATTATTTTACGCCAACCGTAAAATTGTATTGTATCGATAATGGCTTGATGATAGTCCGGACGCATACTAATGGCAAAATCCAAAAAACCGGATGATGGTGTAAGCACCTAAATGAGAGCACATAATGTTTACAGAAAAAAATTGTTATTAACAATTGTTATAAAATAAATATGTTATAGAAATATTATAAAATTTAGAGGATGTAAGATTATATAGTACAAGTGTTTATAAAAAATATCGTTGAATGAACTAAAATTAAAGATTATGAAGTTAAGGAAATAGTTATAAAATATTTCACTTATTTTACATTCAAACAAGTTCTCATGAGGAGAGTAACATAATTTTACACTTAAATCGAAGTACTTGAAATGATAAAATAACTCATAATCAGATGACTTGTCTAGTTTATGGTGTTGAGTACCGTCCAGTTTAGGCTATAGTTCTGATTATAGTTTAATTTATATACTTGATTATTGATTATAGTCTACAGTTCGATATATATGTAATCTTATAGAAGTACTCTGAGTAATTTATAAAAAAATCAAGTAGTCGCGCGAGGCCGACCATATAATACCCTACACCAGTTAAAAAATAATAAAGCATTTAAGTTGAATTGTACCTTGTCTCAGATATACTTTAGCCATTTTTGTTGAATAACATTGTGTACATTTAAGTCATATTTCAATAGTCACTGAGACAATAAAAGATCATGTATCAAATTTATTAGAATTATTTTAAAAAATGCGACCAGTAGTTTGATTACAATGTTTACATGGACGGAGGGACAGACGGAAGGACGGACAGACGGACATAGCTAAATTGACTTAAAAAATTATTATAAGTCGATTGGTATACTTCAAGGTGGGTAAAGGACCAATATTATTGTGCGTTACAACATAAGCACAAACCCAATATACCCTCCCCAAAGTGGTGTAGGGTATAAATATATTTCAAAATCTTTTATTAAATGAACTTTATCATTATAGCTGAGGATCGGTCTGTAACTTACTCAAGCTCCTTTAAAAGTCTGTTTATTTAAGTTTGAAAGTTAATAAAAAAACGACTTTATTTTCTTTGGAATTAACTTAATAATGAAATTACTATAACTTCATTAGCATTTTTGCCTTTTAAATATTTTTAATATTTGAGAAATAACTTTGTAATGAAAAAGGTTATTTTATACATAAATGTAATAACTGTAGTAATTATTTTGTTAACAATATTCCATTTTTTATTTTATTTTTTGTTAAATATTAAAAAATCTACTTTAAATGAAGTTGTTAATTTATCTTTTAATACCTCATAATTTTAAATTTTTATGAACATATTATAGTCTTGTTATTATGATAACGTTTCGTGTGTTTTTTTTACAACTATAATTATATACAAAATTTAATACTATTTGTTATGTTTTTAATGTTTTTATATGCGAGAGCAAGCGTGTTTATTGTATATTTATTTTTTGTTTTGTTTTCGGATGACTCTAAATTCCCCGGGGGCTGAAGGAAGACCAGGGCCAGTCATTGTTTTTTTGAAATTATTATGATTTGTGGGTTTTTTTGTTTGTTTGCTGTTGGACTATGTATAGCCGTTAGAGAGACAGAGTAAAGTTTTTGTTATTTCTGTTTGGACATTTACTACTTTAATAACAATATAAACTGCCTATAAATTTCATAATGTCGGCAATATTGTTGAACAATACATTCATTTTAATGATGCTCATGAAAATAAACAACAATTTTCTCCTCGGCAAAATGAGAAAAACAAGAGCAATGCCAAAAAAAAAGTGTTGTTTTCATTGGACCAACTGGGCGTATGATTAATCGCCAAAACACACACACACAACACCAAAACGAAAACAAACTCATTATCAACATTAAATTTTATGCCAAGAGTAGAAAAATAAAAACAAGGATTATAAAAACTAAACTAAAAGATATGTTAAAATATGCAAAAATTAAAATTAAACGTGGTATGTATTTATTTTTTTTTTTTAAATAAATGGATAAAATACTTTTCGCTAGTCTCTGAGTTATTTATAACTTAAGCTCTTTGTATATTGGCGGTAATGTACTTACTTTTTCCGGAAACCAGGGTGTTACAAATGGCATTTGAAAAGTATTGCTATATGAATGCAATGTATCAAATGAATCCGGCGATACAGCGCCTAGCATTGAATAAACGCCACGAGAAAATTGATTGCATACTGAAAAATAGTTGAAAAAAAGTAAGATGAAAATACATTTACGCATACAGAGGAACAGAAGAACAGAAAAACATAAACAAAAAAATCAAACTGAAATAACAACAAACACAAATACAAAACTACAATTGAATGTTTTCAGTTAAAACAAAATTGCCTATATATGAATCATACCAACAAATATATAAACATTTTCACGAGTACTTGCATGTGCATGACAATATACGTTTTGTTTGTTTGTATAACTGAAATAATATTGCAAAATTCAACAACAAAAACATAATACATAGTGGGAGACACTACACTAAAATATGTTATAAAGAACAAAAGTGGGCAGTGAAGGAGAGTGCAAGAGCTATAGAAAGCATGGGGAGAGTAATGCAATCTGATATAAATGCATACAAACGGAAAGCAATTAAAAACAAACATAAAACGGAATTACACTACGATTTTCAATAAAGAAAAACAACTGTAGCAGAAAAAACAACTATAAGAAAAAACGACTACATTGAATATAAAAAAGCTACGAAAACAAACAAAAAAAAAAAAAAAAACAATAAGTATTCAAACATAATTAATGTTAAAGCGTCATTTGCTCACGACAGCAAGAGTGTATTTCTGTCACATCTCTGAAATTGCTTAACGAGCACTCTCAAGTCTATTAAGGTTCTACAGAAAATTGATTCTTGATAAATTGTCATTTGCAATAGCAAAAAATATCATACTTACGTAGAATCACTTTAACAAGTAAACAACTTGAACTTGAAGAACTGAACTAGACCTGAACTATGTAGAACTGAATTAGAACTGAACTAGAACTGAAGTAGAACTGAACTAGAACTGAACTAGAACTGAACTAGAACTGAACTAGAACTGAACTAGAACTGAACTAGAACTGAACTAGAACTGAACTAGAACTGACTAGAAATGAACTAGAACTGAACTAGAACTGAACTAGAACTGAACCTAGAACTGAACTAGAACTGAACTAGAACTGAACTAGACTGAACTAGAACTGACTAGAACTGAACTAGAACTGAACTAGAACTGAACTAGAACTGAACTAGACTGAACTAGAACTGAACTAGAACTGAAACTAGAACTGAACTAGAACTGAACTAGAACTGAACTAGAACTGAACTAGAACTGAACTAAACTGACTAGAACTGAACTAGAACTGAACTAGAACTGAACTAAACTGAACTATAACTGACTATAACTGAATAGAATGAACGATAACTGAACTAGAACTGAACTGAACTGAACGAGAACGAAAACTAGAACTGAACTAGAACTGAACTAGAACTGAACTAGAACTGAACTAGAACTGAACTAGAACTGAACTAGAACTGAACTAGAACTGAACTAGAACTGAACTAGAACTGAACTAGAACTGAACTAGAACTGAACTAGAACTGAACTAGAACTGAACTAGAACTGAACTAGAACTGAACTAGAACTGAACTAGAACTGAACTAGAACTGAACTAGAACTGAACTAGAACTGAACTAGAACTGAACTAGAACTGAACTAGAACTGAACTAGAACTGAACTAGAACTGAACTAGAACTGAACTAGAACTGAACTAGAACTGAACTAGAACTGAACTAGAACTGAACTAGAACTGAACTAGAACTGAACTAGAACTGAACTAGAACTGAACTAGAACTGAACTAGAACTGAACTAGAACTGAACTAGAACTGAACTAGAACTGAACTAGAACTGAACTAGAACTGAACTAGAACTGAACTAGAACTGAACTAGAACTGAACTGAACTAGAACTGAACTAGAACTAGAACTGAACTAGAACTGAACTAGAACTGAACTAGAACTGAACTAGAACTGAACTAGAACTGAACTAGAACTGAACTAGAACTGAACTAGAACTGAACTAGAACTGAACTAGAACTGAACTAGAACTGAACTAGAACTGAACTAGAACTGAACTAGAACTGAACTAGAACTGAACTAGAACTGAACTAGAACTGAACTAGAACTGAACTAGAACTGAACTAGAACTGAACTAGAACTGACTAGAACTGAACTAGAACTGAACTAGAACTGAACTAGAACTGAACTAGAACTGAACTAGAACTGAACTAGAACTGAACTAGAACTGAACTAGAACTGAACTAGAACTGAACTAGAACTGAACTAGAACTGAGCTAGAACTGAACTAGAACTGAACTAGAACTGAACTAGAACTGAACTAGAAATGAACTAGAACTAATAGTCGTTTCCTTTGTGTAATTATTATATTTATTTTCTAGTTTCTAGTAGCAAATTATTGATTCGTTTTTTTACGTTTGGTTAATACCTTTAATGTCATTTCCCAAAAATATTAACAGAAATATGGATTTTTCAACAAGTTTCAATGTAATAATGTCACTGTTTTTAATGAACAAAATACTGGGGCTACTTGTTTTGGATGATTACACTAAATCCCCATTTAAATGTCTATTTCTTTAACCCCTTTTTAAGCTATTCAATTTTCAATTTCATTTTCAATTCGCATTCGTTTCTACCCTAATGCTTGTTGTGTTCACCCATGTCACAAGTACACAATAAATTTTACAAAAAAAAAAAAAAAAATAAATAAAAAAAACAAATACATACAAACGACCAAAAATAAGAGACATAAAATAAATAAAAAATAAATTTCAATTGGCGCCATTTGTTGACCTTATTTAATGAACGCGAAATTAAAAGCGAGACTACAACAGCAAAAAACAGAGTTGAAAAAAAAAAAAAAATAAAATGAAATAAATTGAACTGAAATAAAATAAATCCTTTAAATTTAAGTACTTTTTATGTTGACCACCTACTTAAACGTGATAATTTAAATGCATCCGCAGTATTAATAACATCAACATAAGCCTGCAATTCAAAACGTCGAGATGATACATTCAGATTGTGATTGAGCATGGCATATTTAAAGGCGGATTGTACTTCATCGGTACCCTGTTCAAAGATGGCGCCTGTAATTAAAAGAGTAAAGAAAATAATATTAAATTAATAAAGTTCTTAGATAGATTTCTATACTAAAATACAAAACAGAAGAGTGTTTTAAGAAAATTTTTTATAAAAATTATATTTTATTAAATTTGTTGTATTAAAATTTTCCCTTAAGGAAAAGTGATAAATTTATCTTCATTTAATTGTATCATTGCATTTTCTTTGTGATTTAAATTTTTACCTCAAATATATTTAGCTTCTGGAATTGCAATAAAAGTTTGTAATAAAAATTTATGGAAAATATGGAAATAAAATCCTTTTTGGCTTCACAAACCATTAAAACTTTGGCCACCATGTAAAATACGACTACAGTTTTATTTTATTTTACACAATAGTATATGAGATATTCCATAGTTTTGGTTCAGATTCAGAGATGAGAAATCATTTTTTTTTAAGTGTCATAATTTTTTGTTATACATAAATAGAATTTTCTTTTAATAAATCAATTATTTAAAAAATTCGATCATTCGAAGGAAGCATCAAGCTTAACTCCTGAGTACTTGCTAATTTTAATATGAAATAGTTTAAAAAAAAGTTTGATCTTATGAATTTTTCCATTCCTGGGTAGAACTATCTTCAATGTTTCTCCCTCTATCTCTCTCTTTTACTTTCTCTTTGGCTAACGGTTCTGTGTGTATGTATGAGTGTTGCTTACGTTATCTGTGAGTGGTAAATTACGGCGAAAAAACAAAATAACTGTTTTTTATTTTAAAATGAAAAATAACTTTATAAAGACAACAGCAACAACACATGCACACTTACTCACAACTGCAGGCAGAAACATGCATGTAAAAATGTATTTTTTATGAAAAACTTTTATATAAATTTTTACACACAGTCATCATTCATATAAAATATTTGTTATTTGTTGCAGTAGAAGTTGTTGTAGTAAACTTTAAAACATGTAAAACTAAATAAAAGTAGTTGTTGTATAGTTGCTACAACAACAAGAGTATAATTGAAAATATTTGAAAAAACACAAAGGATTTTAATTTTTTGTTTGTGTTTTTTATTTTAACAGTTTACTTTTTATATTTTCACTTAGGACTATAGAAAGAGAGAGAGAGAAAGAAAAAACAACCAACTTTTTAAATTAATTGAGGTATGGGCTGTTTTTTAGGGTTTTGTTCTAGTTGTAATTTTTTCTAGTTTCGCCATTTTTTTTAAATTGTTGGTTGTTTTTACTTGTGGTCTTGACCCGCTGTTTCCAAACGCATTTGTTTGTTTTGAACCCGCGTGTGTGTGTGTGTAAGTTGCAAATAAAACGTCATAAACAATTTCAAAAACTTTTAAGCATAATAAAAACATAAAATATAACAAAAAAAAACCAAATTGGAAAAAATACTCTCATAAAAATTTTGCAGAAAAAAATCTATGTATTGTTATAAACTTTGTTGTAAAAAATGGTATGTGTTTGTGTTTGTAGGGAAAATACAACCAAAAATAATAGCAACAACGAAAAAAGTTTGTTTCACTTTCCTCTCGAGTTCGTAAAACTGTGTCGTTGCATAAATTTCATTTTTCTATTACAACTTTTTGCCATTTACGTATTTTCCCCATTTTTCCTATTTTGCCCCATCTCAGCAAAAATAATCAATTCTACAAATATTTTGAATAAAATAGAGAAAAAAATAAAGAATAACACAAAAAATATAAAAATCATATTAAAGTTCCTGGCTTGTTGTTGTTCGGTTTTTTCCACTTAAGCCGGGATTTTTGCTTGACTGCACTGCCACATCATTCTCTTGGAGTTTAGTATGAAAAAAATATCCAGCATACCGCATTTAACAAATGTACGCATAAATTGTGTCAAAAGTTTTTAATAAAACGGAAAATGCTGTTAGTTTGATTCTTCGTTACGTTTTTTTTTTCTAAATTTATTTGTGATTTTTTTCTCGTTCTGGCCTGGATTAAACACCAGCAATATAAATCGTGTATTAAGTTACATGATGGTTTTGGTCAGTGTCACAAACTTGTTTGATACGACAAATAAATGCTTAAGTTATCTTATTGATTTGTTAAATGCAAAATGATGGTATGACAAAAAATGTATTAAAAAGTTATTGGATTTTTTATAAAACGCAGAGTGAATAATAATAATAAAAAATCCTTTAAAAGAAAATGTTGTATACAAACTTTAAGGGTTAATTATAAATTGTGGATTTTGTACTTAAAAATGCTAACAATAATTTGACCTTTTTGGTTTTGTAAGATGTTTATTATTAAGTCACTAAAATATGAAGACCAATTTTATTCATACATATGTATTAAGGTATTTTTAGACTACAATACTGAGTATTAATACTTGTCAAAAATGTTTGTATCATAATACAATTTACTAGTCTATATATAATTTGTAATTTGATTTTCAAAAATATTACTGATTTTGGCATACGGTCGGTATTCATAAATTTTTTAAAACAATTCAAAAACTTTTTATTTTCAAACGTATTCGGGATGTATTTTATAAATACAATAAAAAACAAACAAAAATTTTAAAATACATTAAAAATAAGAACGAAAAGTGCATAAATAATTGAAAATTGGATAAAAAATATTACAAATATTATAGTGTAAACATAAAATGTATTTTTCGGATTGATTTTTTGAAAATGCGAATTATTTTCATAATATTTTTAATTTGAAGTGTGTTAATACTCAATATTGTAGTCTGAAAATACCTTTAATAATATTATACAAATATTAAAATTTTTTCAAACAGTCTTGAGTATTTTCACTTATTTTTGTTAAACAATTTAAATAATTTTCCAACAACTTTTAGCAATTAAAAACTTTTTAATTTTTTTACTATTTGTTATTTTCAATTATTTTAATAGTGTGGGAGTATGTAAAAGATGGTAACTACAGATAATGGTAAAAGTTTTTGAAGTTGTTTTACAGAAAGAGAAAAAAAAAAAATTAAATGTTAATTTTTTAAACGACTGTCAATTAACAATTTAAATTTTTTCTTTCGTTTGTGTGTTTTATTAAATGTTTCAAACAAACAACAATAAAAGCAATAAGCGTTATAGTGGCTAATAAGTATAAAAGTTGTTAAAATTGTAAATTAACTTTGCCAAATTAGAACTATAAAATCTAATTTTCTAGAATTAAAAAAGGACTTAGTAAGACATAACAATTTTTTAATTGTTTAATTTTCTGTTCTAGTTCTAGTTCAGTTCTAGTTCAGTTCTAGTTCAGTTCTAGTTCAGTTCTAGTTCAGTCAGTTCTAGTTCAGTTCTAGTTCAGTTCTAGTTCAGTTCTAGTTCAGTTCTAGTTCAGTTCTAGTTGTTCAGTTCTAGTTCAGTTCTAGTTCAGTTCTAGTTCAGTTCTAGTTCAGTTCTAGTTCAGTTCTAGTTCAGTTCTAGTTCAGTTCTAGTTCAGTTCTAGTTCAGTTCTAGTTCAGTTCTAGTTCGTTCTAGTTCAGTTCTAGTTTCAGTTCTAGTTCAGTTCTAGTTCAGTTCTAGTTCAGTTCTAGTTCAGTTCTAGTTCAGTTCTAGTTCAGTTCTAGTTCAGTTCTAGTAGTTCTAGTTCAGTTCTAGTTCAGTTCTAGTTCAGTTCTAGTTCAGTTCTAGTTCAATTCTAGTTCAGTTCTAGTTCAGTTCTAGTTAAGTTCTAGTTCAGTTCTAGTTCAGTTCTAGTTCAGTTCTAGTTCAGTTCTAGTTCAGTTCTAGTTCAGTTCTAGTTCAGTTCTAGTTCAGTTCTAGTTCAGTTCTAGTTAAGTTCTAGTTCAGTTCTAGTTCAGTTCTAGTTCAGTTCTAGTCAGTTCTAGTTCAGTTCTAGTTCAGTTCTAGTTCAGTTCTAGTTCAGTTCTAGTTCAGTTCTAGTTCAGTTCTAGTTCAGTTATAGTTCAGTTCTAGTTCAGTTTTTCACAGTCATTTTTTTCACACTCTTTTTTTCTCAAACATATTAATTATGTATGAGAAAAAATGATGCAGTATAATAGAGGGAAGCATAATAAGATAACAAAAAAAATTAAAAATTTTAATTGTATGCATTATTAACGGAAACTTTTTTGTAGTGGAAATTTTATTTTAAATGTTTGTAGCTGCTACAGTGTTAATAATAAAAGTAAATACAATACAAATGTTTTTTGAAAAAAAATATATAAATCTTTAGCTGGGCTATAACGAGAGAGAAATTAAACATATTTAAAAAGTAATTAAAAAATAATGATACATATCAATTTTATATAGTTTTCTGTTGAGTTTTATTTGATATAATAAAACAATTATAAAAAAGAAACTTTCATTAATATTAATTTAAAACATTGTTCACAGTTAACTATTTTTTTATATGAAGAGGGAAAAAATGCATGTTTAAGGGGATTAAGAGAAAATGTATAAAGAATCTGTTAAATATAGTGGAAATTAAGTGCTTATTTAAATGTTACATTATTTTCTGTAAAATTGAGTATTAATTTTAAGTATAATTCATTTATCATAGTATTGAATGAACATTTTTTAAATGAAGTTAAAGGAAAATTAACTTAAGCAATTCAATATGTTTATTTTTAAACTCTAATAAAAAGATATTTATAGAAATTCGAAATTTGAAACTCAACCCAAAATACTTTAAATAATCAATAATCTAATATAAAACCAACGAAGTAGTGGTGGAATGTGTTATACAAAGCTTAAAGGGATATGTATTTTTGTTAAACAAAACCACATAAATATTTCAAATGCAAGTATTAACCACAAATTTAAGGGCCGGTTATTCACATATATATTTTTGTTTAATTCATTAATGTTCTACATGTATGTATGTATTAGTGTTTTTATTGGTTAATTATTTTGGTTTGAAATGCTTTTGTGTTAAAGTATTTCTGGTTGATTTTATTTGTTTTTTTCTTTTTTTTCTTTTCAATTTGCAGTTAGAACCCAAAACATACAAGCCAACATTGGCAACATTGAACTAACAACAATTAAAACACTCAATGTGGTTTTAATTGCATAATTCT